GGGGGCCAGGTGGCGGAAGCGACAGTAGGGCATGGCGAAGGCCCACAGCAGCACCAGCAAGAAGTTCATCAGCGATACCTGGGGCAGCGGCCGCGTCAGCACCCCAGCGTGCCCGGCCGACCCTCCCCACCCCAGTGTCCTGAGGCTGGTACCTCCTGCAGGGCCACCCAGACGGTGTAGAGAGCCACCAGCTTGAGGACATGGAGCTCCAGCAGGCGTCCCACAAAGACCTGTCCGCGGGTCAGCATCTCCGAGAAGGTCCAGCCCAGCACCATCAGGCGCTCCAGCACCAGCCCCCATTTGGTGGGTGCTGTGGGGACGTGGACTGTCATGGACACCCTTGCAGCCACTCTGGCTCAGAGGACACCCCAACCCATCTCTGTACCCTCCCCAGGCTCAGAGGACACCCCAACCCATCCCTGCACCCTCCCAGTCCCCTTTCCTGGCTCAGGACACCCCAACCCATCACCATACCCTCCCAGACTTGGAGGATACCCCAATCCATCTTCATACCCTCCCAACCCTGTCCTGACTCAGAGGACACCCCAACCCATCCCCATACCCTCCCAGGCTCAGAGGACACCCCAGCCCATCCCAGCACTATCCCAGCCAGCCCCTTCCTGGCTTGGAGGATGCCCCAATCCATCTCTGCATCCTCCTACCCCATCCTGGCTTGAAGGACACCCCAATGCATCCCCAGCCCCTTCCCAGCACCCTGTCCCCACCCGGTACCCTGTGTCATGGTGTCGGAGTCGCCCATCCCGGCGCTCTCAGCAGCGGCAGCATCCCGCAGCAGCCGGCTCCCGTGCAGCTCCTCGGGTCTGCGAGGAAGAAGGCTCAGCATGGGGACAGGGGGCTCGGGGTGCCAGGGGGGGTCACCCCAGCACAGAGCCCTACCTGGGGATGTGGCGGGGTGGCGGGGTGGCAGCAGGGATGTGCTCCAGGTCGGTGATGTGCATGAACCGACGGTGGAAGTAATGGAGCTGGAGGATGCAGGCCAGGAGGAAGAAGCCTGGGATGAGGGTGCTGGAGAAGAGCTCGGAGACGCTGAACTGCTCCAGGCCCAGGTCACCCAGCCTGGGCAGGGAGGAGAGGGTCAGCGTGGGGCTGCATCCATCCCACCCTGCACAGGCATCAAGCTGGCACACGGGGCTCCAACCCCACCTCCCCCCGTGCCTCAGTTTCCCCACGTGCAATGCATCCCTCAGCCATGCCCTCCGTGCCACCACGGGGCCGGTGGCAGCAGCAGAGATCCCGTGGTGGCTTGGGGACACTCACTGCTCATCGGTGAGGCCCGTCAGGTTCCTCCAGTACATGGGGAAGTCCTCGAACTGGAAGGTGTAGACGGCGATGAGCACCAGCATGGTGTACGCCACCACCAGCCACCAGAAGCCCTTCAGCACCTTGCGCCACAGGCTGTAGTACACCTGCGGGGACGGGGACGTCAGCGGGGCACGGGGACATCAGCAGGGCCACGCAGGGGATGGGGATGGGGACGGGTAGGGGTCCCTGGCCCCCCTACCTGGAAGAGGGTGAGGCAGAGGAGGAAGAGGAACATGTAGACGATCTTGTAGACGACGAGGCGCCCGGCGAAGCTCACCACGATGAACATGCCGGCGCAGACACAGATCCAGTATTTGGCGTAGAAATCCCGCACCAGGTCCCCCAGCACCTTCAGCACGTCCCGCTGCCGGCTGGGCTCTGCAGGGCAGGGAGGGGGCTGCAGGCAGCCGGCGGGGGGACCCGCGTGTCCCCCCCTCCCCGGCAGGCGCCCCCCCCCGGGGCCCCGCACCCCCGCG